GTCTACAGGATTTCTTACTGTAGGACCCAGAAAGCAGATAACCAGTATTAGGGAAGGAATACATTTCACTGTTATCATACAGCACAAAAGCAACGCTTCATGCATTTCCAAAGGTGTTGTTTTGGGTTTTTTTTTGTCTTTTTTTTTTTTTTTTTTTTCTTTTTGCACAAATTGGCTTGCTTTCACAGTGCTATTTTTATGTAGTAAGATGTATTTGATTTTAAGAAAAATATGTTTTTATACAGGTTGGTTGATTACTTAGCACTGAGGGCAGATATGAATTTAAACTAACCCTATGTTATTATATAATATTTTATTTCCTTTGCTATGTAGAGGTCCTGCTTTATTTAACTTTCTTTTGGTTCATGCAAGTCTCCTGGAGATTTAAACCTAGAAGGACATGAACTGTATAGTGCAATGATGTTATGTAAGTAAAAGAAGAGTTCCTTGCCCCAAAAGTCATTAAGGCCAAGAACACAGGAAGGCTAAAAAGCATCAGACATCAGTGAAAGAGACCAATATTATCATGGGCAGTGAATATATGTATTTTGGCTGAGGGATTAAGTTCAGGATTTCAGAGCTGAAGCCATTCTCTGTAGATTAGAGATCTTGGCGACAGCTGTGAGCTTCTGAGACAATGCTCATGTGGTACTGCAAGGTGCCAGTAGTTTGTAGAAGCCAAGTGTTAGGAGCCAAGAGTGTGTTAGAAGCTACAACACTGATCTGATGTCACTTGGCATTTCCTATGTTCCTGTCTCTGATGACAAATTTTAGCACAAAAAGGAATGGATTATTAAAGAGCTAGCAGCATAATCATGTTGCAAATCACTGGAGGAGTCAGAGGTGCTGTCACGCACCAGGTGTCTGTTCCCACTCATCTGCAGAAGGTGACTTCAGCTCTCTGGACTGGCCTTGTGGTGAAGCAGGTGGAAGAGCATTAATGTAATCCTTCAGTAAGTGCTTTACCCTCTGTTACTGAACAGTCACACCTATCCGAGGGCAGCAGCACATTTGATTGTTCTGGGTACATCCAGAAGAGGACATCTGGCCACGTCTTTGGAGAAAACAGATGACTGGGGCAAGAGAGGAAATTTTGCCCAGTTTGCACGCTTCTTGAGTGTGGAGATGAAGGCCAACACTCACTGTTCACTAGTGGTCACAGTTTGCTGGTGAATGGCATAGCCTCTGAAATTTCCTTTGCAAAGCACACCTGAGGACAGTCCTTGCACCAATTCCTTCACTCAGCCAGAAACTTCCTTCTCCTGGTTCTTACCTGTGTAAACAAGTATCTTTGCTAAATAGTGTATGGAAAAAACGCCTAAAATACTATGATAATCATGTTATGCCGCACATGGAGATCCAGGGGGGAAGCACATTAGTGCAGCACAATACTTGTTTTTATATGTATCTGTGTGTCTATTGTAAACAAAAATGTCATAACATTGTATTATTTTTTTTGGAGCTGGTTGCTTCAAAGGGAATCTTCCTTCTTATCTGCAGCCTGTGTCAGGAACACTGAAAGGACCATTTTGGTAAGCATGCCTTTCCATGGCAGGCAACTTTAAGGCCAAAAAGGCATTTTAGCTAGCTGGGGTTACCTTACTGCCATGTGGATTCAGGTAAAAATCTTGTAAGTCCTTTCCTCTCTGCAAAAAGGTGCTATAACAGAGAGTGCTTTGGCTGGGATACATCACCTCATTTACTTTAAATGAAAGTATTTTGAAGTAGAAACCAACTGCTGTGCCTAAAAATGTGTGTGTGTGTGTAATTTTGACATTCCTTCTGTTGATGCCATCTCCAAGCTGATGCTTTGAGTATTCTTTGTCTCTGTTTTGGAAGGTCTGGTACCACTGTACTTTATGAGAATTGGGCTGTTGATTTCAATGTGAATAGGATCAGAACCCTGTTGTCAGGTTAAAGACAGGAAGAACTTATATAAGAAAATAAGTTTTTTGTATCCTCCCTGGAATGTGCTGTATATCCTAGGGTCTACCTCCTGTCCCTGCACATGCATCTGCAGTAGCAAGTGGTTTTTTGGGAGGCTGAAGCTTGGGTTGTCAAAGCCGAGAATGATTTTGAGGAAAGTGTGGAAGAATCTTCGTTTTTACACAGACATGAAGCTTGTCCTTCTCCCCCATGAAGATGCAATCTTAACATGTTCTTCCCAACTAAGGGCAGCTTAATGCCTGATCTATTTCCTTTGGAATCAGACCAGAGGTAAATAATCCTTTTTGTTTTGATTCAACAGCATCCCTTGTTAACAAGGATAGGGGTCATGAAGGTTTTGTTTCTAGAAGAAACATTGGCTTTCCAGTGACTAGATGTGGCTGGACAACCTTGGAGCACTGTGGTGCAGCCCCAGTTCACACATCAGAGCCTGGGCAAACACAGAGCTTGGCACAAACATTGAGATGGGCACTGCTGGAACACCTTAGCTAAAATGTAGGAAACTGGGGTCACCTGATGACCTTTTCCTATAGGAGCAAACTTGTGGGCATTGCAGGAGCAGTCTGGGAGGAAAGGGACTACCCACAGGGAACTTATATGAGAACCTGAGCAAAACTTTGTCTTGCTTTAGTCCTAATGTCAAACTTGAGCAGGAAGCTTCGCTTTCGCCTGGCGTTATTTGCAAGAGAATCATTGCATAAGGAAGAGCAGCTCTGCCCTTGATACAAGGGACATCAATCACTGGGCTGCATCAAGCTTCCTTGCTACCCTGTGAGTCATACTCTGTTCTTCCTGTGCACACTTAGCAGGCCAAGAAGCTGCACTAACAGAAGCCCACTCAGGGAGAGCACTAGATTTCCCTTTCTGCCTTTAACTGTTGACCAAAGATTGAATCAGGGACCAAATTGGAAGACGGGAGCGATGTAGGGACCACATGTGAAGGATAGGAGGAAAAGGGGTAAAACTGAACTAGTGCCAAAAAAGCAGCTTCCATAAGTGTGGAATGGTCTTGTCATGTGTGGTATTTTCAAAGTGCAGCTGTCAAATCCTAAGGTGTTTTCTTATTTGTTTGTTTGTTTTGGGAAGAGAATAGATGGTATTTATTGCTGTGCCATTTTTTTAATTTATACTAGCTTTACACTTGTATGTATGAATATTTTATCTGAATTCTGCCTGAGAAAGCATGAAGGATGACTTTTTGATATGCTTTTAATGATGTGTTTGAGCAAAGTGACTGTTGGTCTTTTGCAATGAAGGCTGTGTTCCAATTAAAATAGACACATTCTGTTGAAAATGCAGCTCCTACAGAAGTTTCTGTTGATATTTTCCCTTTCTTAGAATCCAGAGAGTCTTTTTTTCTCTGGCAGTTTGTTTTGTTTGTGTGATGTACAGTAATCAAGGGTATCTGAGACCTCATTACTAAAATCTTGTATTTTTATTTGCCAACTTTCCACCAAGATGAGTCGTGCCTGCAAACATGAAATTCATAGAATTGTAGAATGGTTTAGGTTGAAAGGGACCTTTAAGATCATCTAGTTTCAACCACCCTTCTACAGGCAGGGTCACCTCCCATTAGACCAGGTTGCTCAAAACCCCAGAATTCTGGCGGCCGCAGAGAAGAATATGTTTGTGGTGATGAAAGGGCTGCATGAACCTTCCTCCGTCTTCCACTCTGTAAGAGATCAGTGTAGTCAGAATGTGTTGAATACTGTACTTATTAAGTAAAAATAAATCCTCCCTAATAATGTGAAAAGAGTTTTGTATTTGCGTTCCTGTAAGGCAGCTTTTATGGAGGAGTTATATTATGCATTTGAAATTACTCCTTTCATAGATTATTTTGAAAATAAACACTTTTATACTGTTGTAATGTCTCCAGTAAATGTGTATGCACTTATAATTTTCTTAATAAAAATTCCTATCTGAACGAAATGATTACTTGCTTCCCATGGTTTGTCCTCAGACATGAGCTGCTGAACATTTCCCATCAGAAAGCTGTTCAGACCTCAGCTCTTCCACTGTAACAATAAGAGTGATTCCCAGCCCCTCATAGAGTTCTGTGTACAGCAAAGGCTGGAGATAATTAAATAGCTATGACAGTGAAACAGTGCTTGAGCCTTCCTGACCTTCATATTCAATAAATACTACTTAGCCAAATTGACGCAAGTCAAAAGACATGCAAAAAAAGAAAAGGGAAGCTCAGATGACTGATGATCCCTTTGCAAATCCAGCAGTGATTTAGTAAGTGGTTGTGAAAAGCTGAGCAGGTAATTGTGCATGCAGATGGCCAGTGAGAAATTCCCAGGCCACCCGGAAATAGATTGCAGTAATTAGCTACATAATTACAGATTAATATTAAAGAAAGGCTGTGTATTCTCTGCAATATTTTGCTGTGTCTTTCATCATTTCACTTGGATGTTAATGTTGGGCTTTTCACTTACTTGGCAAATCATTATGGCAACATATTTGTGAACTGCATATTCAAAGGGCTGCCTTGAAATTAGTGATGAACCCACCTTATTAGCACATCTGGCTCTCTTCAGAGGCAGCATTCCAATATTAACAAGCTGAAGGAAATCAGCTGTGTTCATGGCTTCTTGATGCTGATTATGAGCACGATATATCAGGCCCTGATGTAGCACAGGTAAGAAGACAACACACAAAATGCTTCTGTTTCAGCAGCTGCATGAAAAGTTTCACACAGACTCATCCTCACAGATTGTCTTTTTGCAGAGCCTGAAGGATAAGACACATGGGGAAGGTGGTTGCAGAATGGGATTTACGGTCATTAGAAAAGTGTGATAAGAGTTTCTGTCTCCAAATTTGAAGCAATGAGATTGATTTGAGAAAGAAAACTTGTTGATTGTTTATGTGTCTTTCATGCTATTGCTGCTTCCCTTTTTCACTGGTGCACTTGAAATGCTGAGTCACAGCTTGAACCAGTGATTGAGCACCTGGAAGGAAGGCAGAACCAACCCAGGGGAACTCAGGTGTATGCAGTACACCTGAGTGACAGGAGCACTTGGTGGATCCTGGCTTCACCCTTCCCAGACCTCATTTAAGGGCAGTAGTGGGGGCAAGGGTGTTATGCTGAGAATTGTTGTGTGCCTAAGGCCTTTAGAAGGTAAGTAACTTCCTTACTTTATTTCTGTGCCTGCAGCTGTTGCATTTGAGCAAATCCTCTCTTGTAGCCTGGGACCTTGCTGCACTATTGTCATTGCTGTACTTTCTGTTGCATTACAACCAGTTCCTCTGTTTTTTTTAATGCTGCAGGATTAAAGAATGCTTATGACAAGGGAAAACAGTTCTCTTGATGCTGTAGGTGAAATGGGTAGAGCAAGGAGAAGAGGGTAACAGCTTTATGATGGGTAAAATGAAAAGGAGTGAGCTAGAGAAGTGATCTCTGCAAGGGTGAGGATAAGTCTAAAGAAGATGGAGATAGAGTAGATGTGCAAGGTGAAATACAGGAGACTTGAGACAGTGGAAACAGAAAAAGGCACGGAACTCACATCAGGAAAAAGAAGGAGAAAGATAAGGACTTGTAGAAAGTGAAGGATGCTGCAAGAGATGGAGGTGACAGTTGTGAGAAGAAATCAAAATAGGAGAACAAAGGAGTGAACAGAGGAGAGTCAAAGGAGAACAAGGAAGCAGCCTGTGGAGAAGAGCAAAGGTATCTCTTGTTAGCTGTGGGAGATGGCAGCCTGGCAGTCTGAATTCTAAGCAGGTACCTGGAAAAGGCTGCTGTAAGGATCAGAGTCTTCAAGAGATTCAAAAAGGTGAGAGGAAACAAGCAACAACTTTAATCCAGAACTCCTCCGGGTACCTACAGAAAAGAAGCACCATCTCTTCCTATGCCTTCCTCTTGTGTCCTTCCTACCTTAGCCCAATCAGATATGCTACGTGCTGAGAATCTGTTATCAGAGGTCCCCACTTGCCACTTATCATGCCTTATCTGGCATTGCTGTTACTGGGCAATGAGATTCAAAACTAGGTATGTGCCCTGTGATTGGAGCTTGGTGGAGCCCAACAAGGCTGAATAGGAGGCTGAAAAGCCCATCTTTTTCCCCAGCTCTCTGTTCTGCATCAAGTTGTGTCATAAGTGAAGAGTGGAGTGGGAAAACTGTTAAAAGAACAGCAGCACTTCCTTCTGTTGGAATAGCCCAAGTGCTGAGGATGTTACCTAAGAGCTGCTATGATGCTACATGATGAAGGTCACTCCTAGCTTCTGGTAAACGTCTTCCTGTTTTGTAAAGCTACTTACTTTTAATTCATCCAGAGTATTTCAGACAAAACAAATAAGTAGCTTTGAGACTAGCAAAGAAATGAGGGGAAAAAAAAATTGAAAACAAAAAGCAAGGTCTAGAAGCTGAAGCCAGAGACATTCAAACTGAAAACAGATTTCTAAGTGTGGAACTGATTAGCCTTTGGAACAAATTCCCCATGAGAAGGGGAAAGCCCTGACTTTTTTTTTTTTTTTTTTTTTCCCCTTTCTTCCTATGTCTTCAGAGCAGTGCTAAGCACTGCTCTGGTGTTCACCACATAGAGCCTGATGGACTCCCAGGGGATACTGGGTAAAATACTCTTACCTCTGTTATAGATGGGGTCAGACCAGATGAGCTAATGATTCTTCTGGCCTTGGAAACCCATCTGCAGAAAGCCCCGGCTCCAAGGGAGCATTCCTCAGCTTGTGTATGATTAATAACACCAGTACAACAGCCATCCCAACTCTGCTTGAGCTGAGGCTGAGGATGGCTCCTGCTGTTACACAGGAGACAACTTTGGGGTAAAATGTCTTTGCTTTTTGTCACAATGGTTACCCTCCAGTTGAAGAAGCAGAGGTGTGGCAGAGAGGTAAAGCTGAAGCCCTGGTCCTGATCCATGCACCCCTGATCTGGGAACAAATCTTGCTCAAAAGGTTTTCTCTGTCAGGAGTGCTCATACTGGTGATCTTCTAGCAAATCCTTGAGCTTCTTCCTTTGTCTCTTATTGGTCCTCCATTCTGTCCTCTGGATCTTTGAGGATCTCCTCTTGCTTCCCAATTCTAATTGCTGCAGCTCATGTGATAAGTCTTGGTGATTCAAAGTCATCTGGTGGGCTCTCTGCCCACCTGCTTGTCTTCCTTGTTGGTGCTCTCTGGCTACTGGTTCGTTTTCCACCTCTGAGAGAGGTGGTGGAATATCTCTGTTTCTGTCATTTTTTCGTCCACTCTGTCAGATCAGGATCTGGAGTCCTTTCAGCCTGAACATTGTTACTGCATGCTCAGCTTATGCTCTTGGGCTTGTTCCACTGCTTGGACAGCTTAATCTGTCTTTCATTGCCTGCCACAGCAGCACCACCCTTTGGCACATTAATATGTCCTTGGTTTACATTCCTTCCATCTCTTCTCTCCAGCCATTCCTTGCAGAAGCTGTCTAGGAAAAGTGGTGATCTCCTATTTCTTCCTTCCTCCTGCCAATGACTAGACAATGTAACCCTGATGTGATGGACTCAAGCAACCAGGAAGGTGCTTGAGGATTTTGGTAGACCCAGACCACACTATTTTGGCCCTCATCCAGCTTGAACAGAGAGCAGAGTTTACCACAAGCTGTCAAATGGTGGAATAACACATCTTAAGAACAGGACAGAGGTTTAAAATGCTGCTGTAGCTGACTGAAACCTCAAAAACTTGATTTTTTTTTTTTTTTTTTTTTTTCCACCCTAAAGATCTGTGATCCCTTCCATTGTCTAATGTGCACTGTGATTTATTGCAGTGCCTGGAAGAAGATTTTTGACTGTGGTGAAATGTGTCTGTGCATTGACTGTAGAAGAGGAGGAGCTGAAGAAAGGACTTACTAATGATGATTAGAATGTAACAAAATCCAAGCCACCAGATAACCAAACTGTTTGACACAGTGCTGCACACAGTGCCACAACTATATGTAAAATCTATAGAAGTTTAATATCCAGCACACGCTGTTTGTTTCTGAGCACCACAGAAGCACATAAAATACTTCAGATTACACACTACAATTCCTGTGAAGAGGGAAGACTATTTACATGAGCAAATGCCAAGCCCCATTGTATGGCTAGGCCCATGTTTTCTAAATTAGAGTCTTTCCACAGGGCAGAGCATGAGGAAAAAATAGTTCTGCATAAAAATATTTGGAAAAGCATGAGGGAAAGAGGAAATATTTTCTTTCTTTAAAAATCTGAATGTTATGAAGGCAAACAGGAATCAAATTCTGTATGATGGAACTTCAGCCATGAAGGCAGCTGGATGGCAACCATTGGGCTCAGTGTCCACATTCAGGCTTAAGATCCTCACGTTCACTTTCAGTCATGTCCTCAGCCTAGCTGTTCTAGATTTTCTCCTAATTGCCTGTGGAAAAAAATCTATGCTCAGTCTACACTCTCCTGTTCTTGTATCCCATCTCCTGGTCTGAGTCTTTCTCTGTGGTATTTCTTGTAGCTGTGTTAAGGTTCCATTGTGCATGAATTGTGCAAATCAGAATGATAGTATCCCTACCTGGTAAGTTTCATGGCTGGATATTTGCTCTGCTGGGCTCCTGTCAGATATGCATGTTGCAAGGAGTGCAAGTCTTTATCTCTTTTTTGGGTGTTGAAGAATCATTACACTGGCCATGGGATGGGATGTCAAGTAAGTAAAGAAATACAGATCATCTAGTATCACATTTACTTCACACCATCTGCATGGCTTGGTTAACAGGAAGTATTTCAGCTCATTGGAGGGGTAAAGTAGTGTAAAAAGATGGCAGAGAATTGTCAAGGAGTAGCAAGGTTTCCCAGTCATGCTGTTACCAGAGATAAAGCCTAGGGAGGGATGGCTCCAGGCAGGAGGTGAGCAGCTCAGTGTTGTGCAACTTGCTCCTTGTGGCCTGCTCCCATATGAGCCTCAGCAGAGCTCACTCTGGGTATCACTGCATTGGGTATCAGGCCATCTTGGCTCCTCCACTCTTCCTCTTCCACTCCCTACTTCCTCACTTTTAACTGCTGTAAGTTTTCTCTTTCCTGCTGCCACGCTACTTCTTGCTGACTTCAGACATTCTTTATTGCTTTTCATTGGGCTCCCCAGTGCTTGCATACGTTGTGTTGGTTTGGCCTGCTCTGCCTTTTGTCTGTGCAAAAACAAAAGTTCTATCTGCTGCCCAGAGACCATGGTGACTTCAGGGCTTTCCTAGTGCCAGCAGCTAACTGGAAACAGATGGAAGACCACAGCCACGTCCCCAGCAATACTGTGTCTTAGATAGAAGGGCCTGATTCTGCACTTTGACATTGGTGAAATGCTCTTGGTTTATAGCTGTGTATCTGGGAGTGCCATCTGGCCATCAGGAATCAAGCTACCTTGGAAGAGAAGGCAAAAAAAACATGACGCTCATGATGTGAGTATCTCCAGTGTTTGGTTTCCCTCAGCCTCAGTAAATAAAGGGTAGTTGATTGCAATGAGCAACCTGGACGCTCTTAAAGAAGCCTCACAGGACACAGAAGCAAATGGCACAATGCTTCTACTCCATTTCTAAAAACCCACAGAGGGCTCAGCAGAGCTGCTGAGAACTGAGACTTTCAGCTAGGAGAAAGAAGGAGATTCCTAATACTCTAGTTCTTGTTTTTACTCTGAATTAAGACTGAAGAAGTGTAATATTTTCTTGTGGAATGGAGAATTTGGAAAGAATTCTGTCAGTAAATGACAAAACTGTTTTGGTTTTTTTTTTTTTTTCTGTTCTTATTATCAGATAACTGTGTGTCAGAGTGACTTAGAGCCATTGCAGTTCCAGCAATCCACGCCATTCTGGGTTTTCTGTTCTGTGCTGCTTTTGTGGTCCATCTATGGCACCAGAATATGAAAGCCAAGGATACTTTATGCCGTTTATAGTTTCTTCTTACAGTTAGACTAGGTGATCTTTTTGGTCTTTTCCAGCCTTGATTTGATTCTATGATTCACATTGCCCAGTTCATAAAGCATGAAGAAGGATCTGGGAGTTTGGATAGGCACTGAGTAAGGTCTAATTCGTCTGACATCTTTCAATTATGATTTTTTTTTCCCTAAAAGGAAATAGTAACAAAATTAACTTTCATTTTAACTTGAAGGCTGTCCGGTCCTTGTGTGAAGTGTACTTTTCATGTGGAGGAATCGCTCCTGATTTCTGTATTGCTTCTCCACCTCTGTCCCAAGGCACCTTCATGTACTTTCTGTGGGATCTGCCCAGGCTCATTCCAAATAGCAGTGCTCATCCTGTGTGATCCAGGGTAGCAAAAAGGCAAGAGGGAGGACTATTTTTCTGCTCTTTAGCAATCAGACCCGGATGAAATTTTTGTTGTTACACTGGTTTCCTTGGAATCCCAGCACTCAGTGGGAACATGGCTGTGCCGGTTAACCTCCAATAGGAAAGTAAAAATGCTCCAAGATGACCCTTTCAGTCCCATCCAATAATGCTCAGATGTTTCACTTTCTTAACATTGAAACGTAGTGATAAGATAAAATGGCTTGTTTTGACTTCTCAGCTTCAAATATAATCTAATAATATAACACAATACAGCAACATGAAAAGTAGGTTTTTTCTGTCTTTTGAAGTGGAGCACCCTCTCAAATCAAATGTAACTTTTTGCAGAAGGATATTTCCTGCAAAAATACAATATTCTAACTTCCCCTGAGTCAGTTAATTATGGAATCCAATGGCAAAGCATCAATAATTCTCAGGAAAAGGAGGTGTGGTTTTTTTTGTTTTGTTTTGTTTTAACTGGCTCTAGCAGTCTCTCCAGACCATAGTTTGGGAAGGAGGGACTAAGGAGTAGGCCTATTTTACCATCTTGTCTTATGAAACACTGAGGGCAAGTCATCATGGTGCTGCTGGGTTTTGTCTCTAGCAGCAGCGAGCCTCAGTTGTTGGAAGGAGAAGGCAGGAGAGTGCCCAGCCATAATGCTTTGGCAGTGCCAGTACCTGAAAACTGTGGAAAGAAATACATTCAGCAGCCAACCTGGATGAATCTTTTATATACATTTCCCTTCAGGGGCTGTTCTGCAACAGATCTGAATTAAGCTAAAGATTTAATCTATAAATGTGGTATTTTTGGTCATGCTGCCTGTTTTGCATTAAACCTCTGCAGCTTGCTTCTTCCTCTTATTTTAATTTTAGCAGCTGCGCGGGGTGCAGAGTACTGCCTCAACATCATCAGGAAAAAAAGTTGGTGAGAGCCAGGTGAGTAGAGGAAAGGTGTGTTGTGCTCTGATTAGCACAATATTTGGGGTCTCAGAAGTTGTTGAAAAATCACAGAACCACCTTCTGTGGGGCTCAGAAAGGAGTCTGTGTTGAGAACTGCACCCATCTTCCCTGCAACCAGACCACCAGAGAAGAGAATCTATACAACATGGGCATGCTAGTCCTTGCTATGTAGTGTGTGTATTGGCACAGTATTTCACCAAAACAAGAGTCAAAGGAATAGTTCTTAATGTAATTGTATTTACACTGAGAAAAATCTATTTTTTTTTTTTACCTTATCTGTCTCCTGAATCTAATATATCTGTGAAAACCATAGTTCCCAAAGCAGTGTATTTGTGTAAGAAATTGACCTAATGCTCAATTCCTTTCTCACATAGAGCTTGTTTCTAGTACAACTATGTGTTATCACCTGTGATACACACCAGGCTCTGCAAAGGAGAATCAGGTCCAAAGAACTGCAAGTCATTTTGTTCATCTAGAAAAAAAGAAAGGCCTAAATATTTTCAGGTACATGAATTTAATGACATGGAAGACAAAGTCTGTGGGCTTGTTTTGGATTTATGCTGTATAACCAATACCAGAACTTGGCCAAGTATGCTCCCCTTGGACTTTTTAGATGTTTTACTAGTTGCTCAGGACCTGTGAATCTGAGCTCTTTAAACATTTGCTTTCAGAGGAATTAAATTAGATTATCTTCAGCTTTCATCCTGTGGTCCTGATTGCTCAGACTTTGGCAAATATCCTCCCATAAAGGATCAGCCCAGGAGACATGAAGAGCCCCTCACCACTCAGACACAGGGTCAGGACTTAGTCTCGGGACAAGCCTGTTTGCTAAAAAGAAAGAAGGAGGGAGGGCTGAGACAAAATCCATGCTGATACGCTGTGAGACTGTCATTGGTAGCAAAACAAGCTGGTAGGGCTGGAAGGCTTGGAATCATAGAATCATGAAGGTTGGAAAAGACCACTAAGATAATCTAGTTCAACCATCAACCCACCCCGTGCCATGCCTACTAACCATGTCTCTCAGTGCCTCATCTCCACATTTCTTGAACGCCACCTCCTTAGGCAGCCTGTGACAGTGCATTACCACTCCTAAGAAGAAGTGTATCCTAATATGCAACCTGAATATCCTACTATCCATCCAACTTGCAGCTGCTGAAACACAGCCACAAAAATGAGCAAAATGGCCACCAGATGCTGAATGCCCCTGCACTGCGTTGCCTTTTCTCATTGTCCCTTCTTGTTCTGCTCACAAGCGTGTCTAGAGAAGACACATCTGCTTTTCTAACATATTGCTTGAGCTTGCATGAGCAATTCACTTAAAATAATTGCTAGTGGAAGTAATTTAGGAGAATTCCTACAGAAATGAAGTGTGGTGTGACCCCTTCAGCCACCAGCACTCCCAGTTGCGAGGCACTAGAAGTCTGTGCTCTCAGAGATGTCTTCTCCTGGAAGCCAGCCCGGAGCAGGGTTGGAGCAGCCAGAGCCCTTTGGCAAGGTTTCTGCTGATTCTTTACAACTCTGCAGAGATAAAGCACCAAAATCTTTGGTAAAGTCTAAAATTTCTTACTGTGCTGATCCCAGTGGTGTGTTGTACTATGGATGGACTGTCAGCTCTCCGATGCTATTGGGCCTCCTTTCTTTGCTGATTCACCACACGTTATCAAGCTCTCAGAATCTTCTTTACATATTTCTAGTGGTCTGCTTCTGCTGGAAGAGAGATGGGCTGGTTATGAGGAGGCTGCTGAATTTGAAGAGTCAGGAGCTACATGCTCAGCACAATCTGTAAGCACGGGACTGTCTATTTCCTGCACATTGAAATCCAGGCAATATTTGCAACTACTTCTTTTTTACAGCAAGAAAGAATAGTGTTATGACTATTTACTTTGTTGTTGTCATTTAACTGCCTGGAAGGAATTTGTAGCAAGGTGGGGTTCATTGTTTTCTTCCAGATAATAGCTATTGGAATGTAGCACTGAGGGATATGGTTAGATGTCATCATGGGGGTGGGTTGTTGGTTGGACTAGATGATCTTAGTGATGTTTTCCAACTTTAATGATTCTATGATACTATGAATCTGCTAATATTTATTTATAATGTCACCTGTGAGCAAGTGCTACCATACTAGAAAGTACCCAGGTGCAACAGGAATCTCCCTGCAAGCACCTGCCCTGGGATGAAGAGCCATCACAAGCTCCCTCTTGATCTTCCCCTGTGCGTGACTGCAACCCATAGAGTAGCTCTAACAAATACAGAGAGGAAGCAGCAATTGACAGGCACTGCACACGGTCAGATCCAATAAGTAAGAGCAAGGCTCAGACAGCACAAGAAATGAACTACTCTTTACATTTGTCTCTTCAGTTTTCAAGTCAGTCTATAGATTTTGTTTGGTTTGATCTTGACTCTGTCAACTGACATGCTATGAACGTTAAGAAAACAAACTGGTCTACTCTGATTTCCTTACCATTTACAGAAACAGGTCTGAGTTTATTGCTCTGAAATTTGCATTTATGTATGTATATTTAAGCAATGTCACGGAATGCTTCAATGCCTGCTGATCACTAAGTTGTAAGGAAACAGGAAGCCATAAGCGTGCCAAGCATTCTTCCTAAGAAAAATGTGTGTATTAGAGTCATATGTCTATGCATACATATATAAATGTGTGTGTATCTTTTTATGTAAAGATAGTCATACCTACAATTTGTTCTACATGTGTGTAAGAGGTGTCTGTAAAAGGCAGCCAGCAATCTAACAAGCCAATAAAATCTCACCCCAGGTGCTCCAGCTAGGAAGCAAAGGGAATTTTATTAAATCTGTTACTGAGCTTGGCACGTAAATCAACCCTTACCTAGCACTATCCATAATATTAATTAAGAAATGGCACCATAGAGAAATTTGAGCACATTCAGTCCTTGGAAGGGACACATGAGATCTATATTAGACTATCTGGTGGGAGCATAGCGAAGAATGTAAACTCTAGACAGAGCTATTCTAGGGATCTGCTTTTTCCCATTGGAAATCAGAGCTGTGTCAAGACTGATGTCTTCTGTGGAAGTAGATTGATTTTGGCAGCACCTTCCCTTTGGGAAAAGCGAAGCAAAATGTCTTGTTTGGAATCAGCAGCCGTGTCTCATCCATGCCAGTCATCCAGTGCCTCACAGAGCCTGTTTTCTCTTAGGGCTGTGATGGAGGATGTTACACTACAGACTGGGAGGCCAGTGGAGACCAAATCCAGTACAAGCAGAACTGAGGCAGGTTGCAGGACAGGCAGGGAGCATTGTGTCAGCTGACAGCAAATAGCTCCCCAGTGCTGAGAAGAGCTCTTTAGTTGAGGCTCACCCCAACTGCTCTGACAGTCCTTCTCCCTGATTTTCTCTCCAGTTCCTTTACTTTCTATATTCATATTCAATAGTGAAAACAGAAGAACTTGCTGATGCCTCTTCTATGGCATCTAGACATTGCAGGTCACACACGTCACCACCTTCCCATAGAGCTGCCCCAAGCGCTATCCACTCCAGGTGGGAACTGGCACTGAACTGAGTGGAATGGGGCAACATCTCACCATAGGAATGAAAACATGGATGCTTTAATTCCCAGGGAGGAAAACTTCTTTTTCTGTCTGACACTTCTCCATGAATGCAGTTTGTTGTGGTCTGGGAGGCTGCCAAAGACAGGGTGGAGTAGTTAGAGGCATCAACTCTTTGTTTCCCAATCCGTGCAGTGTATTAACACACCCAGCTGAGCAAGGGTTTGCTTCCACAGGTGCTTCCTAGCTTTCTCCTTGTCTGAAGTAGTAGGAGCCATAACTCTGTGCTGCTCTGCCATCCCAGTCACCATCCATGACTTCTCCTGCTCTGGGGGTGACTGTGGGCTGGCAACAGCTGCTCCACATCTGTCCCTCAGTGCTGCTGGGTGACAGTTGTCTTTTTTATTAAACAAACACAACCGAAGCTCAAGGGGGTTGAAATTAGCCACATGTTTGGCTGATTCCAGTCAACAGTTTCAGAAATCAAAAATGAAGCAAGCTTCAAAAATTCTTTAGCATTTCAGTTTTCCCTTTATATATTAAAATGATTTGACTTTTCCTTTTAAAGAACCCTTCAGAAAGATATCTATCAGAAAGACAATTTGAGCTAAAACAATAGATTCTCTGTTGATCAGTCTGTGAAAACATTTTCTTCTTTAACTGCTCCATTAAAGAAATTCAGCTCATTCTGAATCATTTATCTTATTCCTTCCCTTAGTTCCTTATTAATTTACCAAAAAGTTGGTCTCTTTCCAGCTCCTCTTCATCTACGTTCTCCATGAACTGTCTCTTCCTGATCTCCTCACCTATATTTATTGAAGCTGAATGACCCGACTGTAACGGAAGCTAAATTACTCTGAGTATTTCCCATCTTCCCTTTCTTGTCAGCAGGATGTATTTCTTCTTTTCATTCCTCCTTTGAAGAATGTGTCCTTTCTGCACCTTGATCCTTGGTCTCCTCCAAAGATTTTTTTTCTTAGGCTCATGTCTTTTTAGTGTCTCCTCTCTAATTCGCACATCAAGCATGTGGCTCATGCATTCCAGAACAGAGTATGTCCCCAGGAATGGCCATTCCCTAAAGGCCATTTTACCTGTGAGAGTGAAAATGGCCAAGCTCTCAAGTGCTGTGTGCCAGCACATCCCCAACACCACTATGTGGGTATAAAGTGTTTTACAGTCCTCTGAAGAAATGGTTCATCAAGAAAGATTACTAAATACTTTACAGGAGAAGAGCTAAGGGTCACCTTGCCTGGGGCTGATGTATAGTCAGTTCTAGTCTGTTATGTCTATCATTTTTATTAGACTTGCTTTCCTTACAGGCAACCTCCATACAAGCTTCTTATTGGATAATCTGCTCTTCATCATGATGTACATTTCAATCCACATATTTACATGATCAGGGCTGTATGGGAAATAAGACCCACATCAATCCACATTTGTACTCCCACTTTGGAAAATATTTCACTGCTGAGCTGTCAGGAATCATTACAAACCCAAGGAGCTAATGCCCTCATACAAATGCTATCAACTCACCTCCAGGACCAGAGATGATGTATGAGCTGCTTTAGGCTCTCTGCCTTCCTTGGTGCTCAGAAATGCTGTTCCTTTCTGGAAAGGAGAATGCTTATTGTAGCAGAAGCCTACACATCTGCACTTAAGGAGCAAAGAGATAAAGCCTTGAGCTGCGAGGACTCATCCTCCTTGTGCAGCTGCACACCATGTGCTGAGTTCATTGGGTCTTGTGCTGCAGTGCTGACAAGCACCAAGCACCTTGCTGAGACAGTGATCATTGCTCATGGCACATCCCACAATGCTTCCAGGGCCTTTCTGCCAGCAAAGCCCTTGCCTTCTCTTAGCTTCCTGGGTAGAAACAGGATGTCAGTGTGTAATCACACCATAAAGGCAGTAGGAAGGTAAATGTCTAAATGTGAGAACATTAAAGCCATAATATAACATTATTCCAGTCAGATGGCACTTCTGTAATTCTTTTAAATACAACAACAACAAAAACTGTGTGAGGGGGAACTGTCATGTCATGGCCTGAACTGATGATTGAGCATCTGGTGAAGGCTGGCCCAGGAAGCACAGGTGAAGGCAATTCACCTGTGCCTCCTGCATGACCAGAAGGGGTGAGCTGTAGACTCATTTAAAGGCTAGCCTCCAAAGGGAGAATCTCTCCTAGATGGAGGTTGTTTTCTGAGAAGGAGTGTTCTGTAGCTAAATCATCAATCATCACCAGTTAGGTGAGTCAATTTTTTTTATTTTTAAACTTTATATATGGTTGCTGATATTCTTAATGATACTTTGCCTAGTATTGAGAAGAGTTTGTCAGAAGTTGTTTTACTGCTTCTAAGGACCAGTACAGTGCTTCAATTTTTTTTCTTGTTTCTCATATCCATTTTGGTAAAGATCTTCCTTTTTTAGTGATTTTTTTTCTTCTGGTAATTGACTTTTAAAGAAAGGGATGGCAAAGAACTGACAGTAGTGAAGGAAGGCAGAATGTGGAGAAGAAGCTTCAAAGCAAGTAGTACTTTAAATAGAATTTTCATGCTTTATCTGAACGTAAGTGCTAGCTGTGGTAGGTCCTCAGGGACCCTTGCTATCTGCAACACAGGAGAGAGGACTCTTCTGTAGAACTTGCTGATCTTGGCAGCTCCCCATTGTGCACAATGGTGGGATGCTCCCTCATCAGTTCCCTCCCTCCGATTGGATTTGTGCTCGTTGGAAGGGGTTTAAAAACCAGAGAAAGAAAAAAATAAGGGTCTTGGAAGGGGTTCCACATATGATGGCACTCAGTTTTCTATCAGCATGTGAAATCTAAGTCTTCTTTTCTCAAAGTTATTGCCTATTTAAAAGGGTTTCCCTGTTTTATGTCAGCTCTTGGATGACACGTCAGACTCAGAATTAACAAGGATAATGAGGACTAGAATGTCATTAGACTAAATGCAAATGTAGTGCTCAGAACTGGCCTAGACCTTTGCCCCAAAGCCAAATGTATTCAAGGCTAAATCCTGGGTGCAAATAGTCCAGGACATGACCTGTATCTTAGACTAAATCCAGACACTGAACTTGAGAAACTCGTTGTGTTTTTTTGCTTTTTATTTTTATGCACTACTTAGGTTCTGCCTGTATGATAGGTATGAAAGAAGAAATGCAAAAATACTACAAAGAGGGTCATCCTTCAGCTTCCACTAGTTGGATCAGAAAGGGAAGTGGCTAGAAAGTCTAGATATGTTTGAAAGGTTTCCAGGAGT